AGTTGTTGTATGAAAGCCAGAATGCACAATTATCTTATGACACAACAGACAGAGATGATGACAAGCTCATATTAATTTAAAAACTCACTCAGTCTTCCCAAGAACTAAAACCTGTTTTTTTGCAGAACTGCTCACCTTCAGCTGTATCTCCTTGCTTTATTGCCCTTTTGCAAATCATCTGTATGGCTTCTTATTTCAGCAGCTATATACTGTGGGATGTTTTAAGTTCCTTATTTACAGGATTTGTCTCTTAGCAAAACAAAAGTATCCTTTTAAACTTCTTATTTTCAGCCTCCAACTTGTTAACAGCTGTTTTGTGTCGGGTTGACGGTGGCAGCCTTTGGAGCTGTCTCCCTGGGGACACACTGACTGTGAATCATGTCAAGTTGCATTACATCTTCCAGGGTCAGGTGCTTCTCTGCTCCATCTGAAGTGGACAAAAAAAAAAAAAATCAATTTTTTGCTCTCATCACACTGCCAGCTCTGGTCCATCTTTGGTCTCTCTGCCAACTCGTTCAATTCACTGTCTGTCAAGTTCTCTTTCAGCATTACAGATTTCTAACTTTTTCTCAGTCTCACAAACTTATCTTATTTTTCCTCAGTTTGTACAGCTGTTCTGCTTGCACTCGTCCCAAATCAGCATCCACTGCAGAAGGCATTAACAAGCTTCTTGCTCCACCTGCTAGGCTAGTGATGCAGATTAACCCACCACAATAAAGGGCCTCTGAACAGATATGTGCGGTTGGACTCGAAAATTCTCATGATAAATTTGCAAGAACGAGTGCACGGTGTGAGGGGAGCCATTTCCTGGGCCAGCCCCTGCCTGCTCACACCTCCCCAGTAGGAAGGGCTTGTAACCAGCTGGCTCTGGCTCACTCACCCCTGGGACTGGAGAAAAGTTGCTCTTCTGGCCCCAGAAAATGCCCAAGAGCGATGCAGGGGTGCCGCAGGACGACTGCCAGAGAGAGCAGGTGGCTTCTCATGCCTCAAAGAATGGTGTGATACCATGGCCAGGAAATAGAGAAGGATCTTTATTAATCTGCCTCTTTGCCATGGCATGCAAAAGAAATTGCGTATCTTTGTTTCAGTGAAGTTAATGTGGTTGACTGAGGAAGTGCAGTATTACTGGGGGAGCATGAGCTACCCTTTCAACTCTGTGGCTAGCTAAAGCTCTTAAGAATGCAGCAAGGGCTGTTTATGCAACAGTGGCTAAAACAATTACGTGCAAAGCTGGAGAAAAAAATTACCAATATATCTCCTAGAAATAACTCTCTGCTAATTCCACTCAAATCAGCACTTACAGCTCATGCAAAAGCACGTGCACTGCTTTGAAAAAATGTTAGCCCTTATGTTATCTAAGTAATAATCCTGCAAATGACTGTAGTGGTCTTTAGAGTACATGGAGATTGACTTTGGCTATTCATGGCAGAATGTATTTAATAATACTCTGCTTAAGGGTATAATGATGCCTGTATTTACAGGTCTCTACTGTAGAGGTCTTTGAAGGGCAGTTTTATATAGCAAGAATTATTTAAGAGGCAATTTATCTTTGCCAGTGCTGGCTCTGTTGGCTAACCAAACAGAAAATGCACAGACGTGGTTCCCGATGAGAACTGGCCAAGGGGAAAGACTACTACTCGCTGAGTGGCACAGAGCAAAGGAACAAAGCACAGGTAGGTAAAATGATAGAGGGAAAAAGAAAGTCCCTCCAGCTTCTCTTCTGTGCACCCCACCACCCTGTTTAAGGCCCCAGCTGAAGCACTTAGAACAGGTACCAGCTGCTTGAAGATGATCTTCTCATTCCTGAGACCTCCTCAAGGATCATACATGGGGTGGGTTTGTGGATGTGAGGAAACATGCTTATTTCTTTTATCAGGAAAAGCTGAAAGTGCATATCATTAAGGAAGCAGAACACTTACAACAGAGGTTTTGAGGCACTGAATTCATTAATCACCTATAATAAAGAAATGTCTGATATATTGACCAATGTATGTGTACAGCTGTAAGGCAGTACTCCTTCCAGGATGGTTTACTGACGTGCTTTGTTTCCATTGCCTAAAAAAACTGGCAGGAAAACACTGTATGTACCTATACCACTATAGTATTTCCTGCAGAGTACCTTATTCAGAGGTTCCCAAATATTCTTGCAGGTAGCATGCAGTTCTGCAGCTCCTTAGCAGCACTTTGCATGCAGTGGTACTTGTTGAAAGAGATGAGGTGCTGCTATGTGGGATGATGTCATACCAACCGAACAGAAAGTGGAACAATTGATGGAAAAAGACAGCAACCAGGTAGCTCAGCTCTGGCCAGGCACTTCTGTTCAGCGTATGCATGTACAGAGACACAACAGCCAAAGTGAAGTGAAACAGGCAGGAATTTTTCAGTTGACTTCCCTAGGCATTGCATTAGGCTGTGAGTAGTGAAGGCTAATACTTTCACAGTTCCCAACTGAAATATGAAACAAGCCTGAACCTGGGTACACCTTTTCTCTAATCTCATTGTGGCCATTTTTAAGAGTGTTTAATACAAAAATCCTCCTTGCATGTTTGCTGGCATGGCTCCTTGACCTCCTGCCTGTGTCTCTTGTCCCATGGCAGGCTCTCACGGGCAGGCCCAAGCATCCCCATGTGAACTGAGCATCTCTTAACACCTCTCTTTTTAGTGAGGAAATGATAGTAGTTAAGCTTTCGTTGGATGGAGATGGATGCAGGCACAAGAGCAGGA